GAGCTCCTCAGAGCCAATCCTGTGCAATACTCTGCAAAAAACAAAATTCTGATATTGCTTTCTAATTTACTGTATTTGGCTGCATCCACCAGTTGCTGCAATGCACACTGCAAATAGCCCCACTTATTACTCCACCTCCTTTCTCAGGAATTCAAATGTTTAATAGTTCCCAGGTATGCCTATGCCACTCAGTAAAATTAATTAAAGCGGAACTAAACCCTATTAATTAACATTCACTATTTTTAATCCTTATGCTTCTAGCCTTAGGAAATAGATAGGAAGGTATATTATATTTACTCCTGCTTGCATGCCCGAGCTAAGGGTAGATGGATTCCAGTAAGTAAATGATACATGAATCATCTGCCCTTCCTCAAGATGACCACCGCCAGAAATGCTAGGGGGTGTTTTTCAAAGTGATTTTTCAACAAAATAAAGCATGGAGACGTGGATGGATGCGTGGTTTGAAAAAAAAAAAAAAAATTACCTACTTGCCTCTTCAGAGGCGGAACGAGCCCTGCGTTGGACCAAACACAAATTTTATTCCTGTGCTAATAAGCCAGGCCCGATGCTGGCCAGGAAACTCAATTCTGTGGGGGGAAACCCCATAAACCGATTCGACTGCGACTTCCTACAGGTGGCTGTACTTCTAATCCCCAGCAGATTGTTTCCCGTTTCTCAGACTTCCTTGCACGCCTCTACGCTAAACCAGATCCCTTCCCCGTGGCTCAAGCAGAGGCATTCTTTCAAGATCTCCGACTTCCTGGGTTATCCGAGGCAGCACAGGTGGCACTCAACGCCGGTGTCACTGTACCAGAAGTGCTCCAAGCTATCAAATCTTTACGGTCCACCGCGGCCCCAGGTCCCGACGGCTTTTCCGGTCTTTATTATAAGAAATTCTCAGCCTTGTTGGCGCCCTTTTTGGCTGAGTATTTTAATGCGTTACGACAGGGCTCCTCGCCCTCCCCAGATGCGCTTAGAGCGCATATCGCCATGATTCCTAAGACGACCGATGATGTACAGGAACCGCAAGCCTTCCGGCCTATTTCTCTTCTTAATGAAGACCTGAAGATATTGGGCAAGATCCTTAGTTTCCGCATTAATAAATATTTGCGTAGCCTGGTCCACAGGGACCAGGTAGGGTTCGTCCCCGGGAGGCAGGCGGGTGATAACGTTCGTAAGGTGGTCCATCTTATACATTTTCTGCAACAGCGGAAAATCCCGGGATTCTTACTGTCTTTAGACATATATAAAGCCTTTGATTCTCTATCCTGGGAATATCTGCGGTTTGTGCTGTCTCGTTGGGGTTTTGGGGATTCTATTCTTTCTTGGATTCAGGCCTTGTATTCTTCTCCTTCGGCCTCCGTCAAATACGCTGGGTATTTTTCAGATCCCTTTCCTATTGGGCGAGGGACGAGACAGGGTTGCCCCCTGTCCCCAGCGCTCTTTGTCCTGGCACTTGAGCCGTTGGCTTTGGCGCTTCGGACCGATTGCAATGTATCGGGGGTTCCTTACGCGGGACAGGAATTCAAACTGAACCTTTTTGCGGATGATGCCCTCCTGACTCTTACTAACCCCCTGACGACGCTTCCTAATTTGCAACAGGTTCTTGAGCGCTTCTCCTTGATTTCGGGTCTCCGTATCAACTTGGATAAGACTGTCGCCCTCAATATTACTTTGGCTTCAGATTTGGTTTCGCGCCTACAATCCCACTTCCCTTACAAATGGGCTTCCTCTTCTCTTGAATACTTAGGCATTCGCTTGACCCCCACTTATGACTCCTTGTTTGCTGCGAATTACTATCCATTGCTTAGCTCTCTATCCTCTCTTATGCATTCTTGGCAATTTCCGCACCTGTCTTGGATAGGACGGGTTAATTCGGTGAAAATGACCATCTTGCCGAAATTGTTGTATTATTTTCGCACACTCCCGGTGCGGGTTCCCCCTCATTTTCTTCGGTTGCTTCAGGCGAAGTTAATGCGTTTTATCTGGGCCGATAAGCACCCCAGAGTATCCAAAAGTACGCTTTTTGCCCATAGACTTCAGGGTGGTCTTGGGGTGCCTAATGTGACTAAGTATTATCAAGCAAGCCAGATTGCCCCGCTGTCTATGTTGCACGCCTCTTCCGATGTCCCCCTCTGGGTCCTGTTGGAACTACCTAATTGTGCCCCTATCGCACTATCGACGCTTCTATGGCTTCCCCCTGCCCTGCGCCCTATGGCACTGAGTCCGATGTTACTTCATGGCCTACAAGTTTGGGACTCGGTGCGTTACTCTGGTGGTCTGATGTCACCTTTTCTGCCTTTGCTCCCAATTATTAACAACCCTCTTTTCCCGCCGGGTTTGGATCACCCAGGGGCGTTTTCTTGGTGGGTGACTAATGGTTTTTCGCAGGTGCGACACTTTTTGATTTTTTCGGTCCTTTCCCACCTGGGACTCTCTTCGGGAATCCCGGAATATCCCCCCGGCGGAATTTTTTTCGATATCTTCAATTGCGACACTGGCTGCTCTCGCTGCGGGGTACTTCTGCGTTCCCGTACCAGAAATCTGCCTTTGAACAGCTCTGCCAACTGCGTCCGGGCGCTCCGGGCCTTATATCCCTTCTTTATGCAGCTCTGAACAACAGACGCTCGTCGCATACTTCACTTTCATATGTTGTTCAGTGGGAGCGCGACCTGGGAGTGGCTGTGGATCCGGAGGACTGGAATAAGGCCTGGTCACTCATAGCTAAATGCTCATTTAATACGACCACACTGGAGGCAGCCTATAAGGTATTGTTTCGTTGGTACTGGGTTCCGGCTCGGCTGGCCCGGGCTAACCCTGCCTGTAGTGATCAATGTTTTCGGGGTTGTGGTCATCGTGGTGATGTATTACATATCTGGTGGTCATGCCCGAGACTGTTTCGTTTTTGGTCTCGTGTATTTGGCCTCCTTTTCACCTTGTTCCATCTCTCCATACGCCGGGATGCTCGGTATGCCTTGCTTCATTGCCCCATACCGGGCTTCTTAGCTCACCAGCAGAAGTTGGCTTCCTATCTGTTTTTATCCGCCACTAGAACAATTGCTCGGGCCTGGAAGAGTCCGTTTGTCCCTCTTCAGGGGGTGCGGGATCGTATGACCACTATGATGCTCAACGAACAGATGTCGAGTATCCGCAACGACTCCCAACGTAAATTTTTGAAAATATGGGAGCCGTGGTTGCAATATGCCCTTTCCTCACTCCTCCCCCCGGCTAGTCTGGGGATGTAATGGCGTTCGGTATTGGCGCTCTTGAATCCCTGCTCTTTGCCCCCACCCCTTTTTTTTTTTTTTTTTTTTTTTTCCCTTTTTTCTTTTTTTCTCTCTCTCTGTTTTTGGTGTGACTGGGCAGCTGCATTTAGTTGTTATAACCAGTTACATTACTGTTTTGTAACTTATGTGCCATTGATAGCCCCTGCGTGGGCATACCTTTTGCCATGTTGGCATTAGAGCATTGTTTTTTTCCTTTTTTTTTTATTTTTGCATATTGTTTATCTGTGCAATTGATAGCCCCTGCGTGGGCGTGTTTTATTGCCTCTGTTTATACTGTTTAAAATTTAATAAAAACCATTGAAATAGAAAATAAAAAAAAATTGTTAAAAAGCATTTGGGTACTCGGATACAGTGTAGTTCTGCTTTAAGGCTTGCTGCTCCCCTTTTTACTAGGCTGTCAATTTGCCTATCAGTGTGAAAACTGTTATAATTATACTGTGTTTTCATAACCAGCCCACGAAGAGTTTTTTTTTTTTTTTTTGCGGCAAACTGTTCAGGTATAATTCCACTAATCCAGAAATCATTGGATAGAAAATTACCCAAAATAATATCATTTATTTTTAATTAAAAATTTCAAGCACTCTCAGGCAGAATGCTTGGGTACGCACTGTGCCTCCGGCTTGGTGTATGGGAGTCAGTTTCAGCTCTTTTTGCTGGCAGCCAAAAAGCAGATTCTGCCTTTTGGGTCTCCAGTGAGGATGACATGGAGAGGTCAGTCACGAGTCCTTATTTTGGTATGTTCCCAACATGATACACAGAATTATAACTGGATACTAATATCTATAGGTAAAGTTGATCCAGGGAATATCCGATTGCCTCTCGGGGGATCAGGAAGGAATTTTTTTTACCAGCAGGAGCAAATTGGATCATGTTTTGCTGGGTTTTTTTTTGCCTTTCTCTGGATCAACCATTGGTATAGGATTATAACTTTTTTTTTTTTTATGGTTGAACTGGATGGACTTTTGTTTTTTTTTTTTTAGCCAGACTAACTATGTAACTACGATCCTTCTCTCTTTCCTCCACAAAGGCTGGTTCATGGCAGCCGAAGGTTACAGCAGAAAATATGCAGCATCGGCACGCCTCCAATCCCCCGTTCTGAGAGAGGCAGCTGCCTCGTGTGAGATCCACATTCACTACCACATGTCATCTGCAGGTAAGTAGGACTAATGCAATAATCAGAATGAAAACAAGTTGGTAGTACCGTATTTTCCGGGTGTATAAGACGACCCCCTAATTTTCCAGTTAAAACATAGGTTTTGGGCTATAGTCGTCGTATAAGACTACCCCCCTTCTGAGGCAACACCATTTAACCACTAGCCTACAGGGCACTTATACCCACTTCCCCCCCGGCCAATTTTCAGCTTTCAGCACTGTCACACTTTGAATGACAATTGCGCGGTCATGCAACACTGTACCCATATGAAATTGGTGGCACTGATGGGCACTGATGAGGAGGCACTGGTAGGTGGCACTGATGGGCATTGACAGGCATCACTGATGGGAACTGAAAGGCAGCACTGATACATGGCACTGATATATGGCACTGACTGGCGGTACTGTTAGGTGGCACTGTTAGGTGGCACTGACTGGCACTGTTAGGTGGCACTGATAGGCGGCACTGATGCGCACTGATAGGCGGCACTGATAGGCGGCACTGATAGGTGGCACTGATTGGCAGCACTCATAGGTGGCACTGATGGGCATTGACAGGCATCACTGATGGGCACTGAAAGGCAGCACTGATACATGGCACTGATAGGCGGCACTGATGCGCACTAATAGGTGGCACTGATTGGCAGCACTGATAGGTGGCACTGATTGGCATTGATAGGTGGCACTGACTGGCACTGATGGATGACACTGAAAGGCAGCTCAGATGGGCACTGATATGTGGCATTGATGTGGCACTGATGGACACTGACAGCTGGCACTGCTGGGGCTGCACTGATCATCAGGGCACACTGATCATCAGTGCTCTGATGATCTGTGTACATGTCCCCTCTGAGGAATGCCGATTACCGTCTCTCCTCTCCTGTCAGCGTGACAGCTCGTGAGGAGAGAAGTGCCGATAACCGGCATTTCCCTGTTTACATGTGATCAGCTGTGATTGGACACAGCTGATCACATGACCGAGCCGACATCTTCGGCTCTTTCCGTGATCGGTGATCCGCTGTGTCCGAGGGACACAGCGCATTGCCACGCATGCGCGGAGAATGGGAGGACGTCATATGAGCAATCACGGCAAGTGATGTATTTTATTAATGAATACAGAGCCTGCTCGGATTGGCTGCGTCAAAGAGGCGGGCTGATGATGTCACAACTTCAGCCAATCCGAGCAGGCTCTGTATTCATTAATAGAATACATCGCTCGCCGTGATTGGCTCAGCGCAGTACACTGTATGTAGCTGAAGCTACCGTACAGTATTACCGCACATCCAGCGTTCTATACCAGGCGTATAAGACGACCCCCAATTGTTGGGGTATGTTTTTAAGTAAAAAAAGTTGTCTTATACGCCGGAAAATACGGCAATTCAACATATTAGGTTATAAATAACTGTAGTTTCCTTCTTATTAACCACTTCAAGTCCGGACACTTTCACCCCCTTCCTGTCCAGGCCAATTTTCAGCTTTCAGTGCTATCACGCTTTGAATGACAATTGCACAATCATGCAACACTATACCCATATGAGATTTTTAGCATTTTTTTGAGACCGATAAAACTTTATTTTTGTGGTATTTTTCACCACTGGGATTTTTTTGCTATATAAAGTCCAAAAAGTTTGAAAAAAAGTGTTTTTCTTATAAAATTTTGCAAATAAATAAGCTTTCTTCATGAATCTTGGCCAAAATGTATTTAATTATCTTTATAGTAAAAAAAAAAACAAAAACCCCAAATTAGTTCATAACCAAAAATTGTATAATTTTTCTATATAATTTTTTTTTAACATTTTTATTTTATTTTTTTATATTATTTATTATTTTTTTTACATACTGTCACCCGAGCAGAACAGTGTCACCATAGTGACCCTGTACTACTTGTGAGGGGGGTGATGATTTTTTTTTTTTTTTTTTTTTATACACTGATTGCTTTTACACCCATAAAGGCTGTAAAAGCAATAATTTCTCCTCTCTGGCTGCATTCTTGCAGCCATTGAGAAATACTGTGAGAGCTGTGACTGGTCACAGCTTGTCACATGGTACAAGGCTGTTGTGAATAACCTTGTACCATGTGACCTCTGTGATCATTCACACATTTCACAAGTAGTAAGCAATGATGTCAGGAAGTGACATCTTGTTTACTACTATTCATGTGATCACTGATTGGCCAATCAGGGATCACATGAATCTGGACCTCAAACAGAGGTCCCGTACAGTGATCGGTGTTCCGGAGGAGACAGCGGGCACCGGATCGCGGTGCTGCGAGCTCCCAGAGAGTGCGCACAGGCTGTGAATGTGGGCGCCGTTTATAAACAGCAACCCGCTCCTGCATTGCTCCCGTCCGGCCCATGTACACAAATGGCCGGACAGGAAGTGGTTAAAGTAGAACTACAATCAAAAGCTTTTCGTTTTGGATAGACAGAACGAAGGTTAGACTTTTGTCAAGTTCTTATTGTGTTCTTTGTTCCCATGGCCTCGTTTTCTATTGACATCACAGCAAGCCATTAAAAAATCTCTCCAAATTGAAGGATAAGTTGCCAGCAGAACAGGTGCTTCCATTGAAAGATAGATCCCATTGCCTCCTCTTAAGGCATAAAACTTCCTCTCACTTTTTGTCCCTGTAACAACATTTTCTAGGATTAATGTTAACGATGAATCTCCTTAATAGGCTCTGACAGCAATAAATACCTAAAATATAAATTGAAGCCCCCAACCATTGCTAAAAGGTCAAGAGTATTCAATGCATTTTGGGATCCAAAAATACATCCTTCATCAGGGCTTGAGACTAAAAACAATGTGAATGGACTAGAAGGAACATGAACCTTTAACTGCTTGGCCGCCTCCCCATAGCTGAAATACTGCTACAGGTCAGCAGGGCTGCGCAAAATCACGTGTATATATACATGATTTTGCATTTCTGAGTAGGAGGCATGCGTGCCCTACCCATGCTGCCATTGGCGGCCTCAGATGTCGATCACTGGGTCCTGGGCGTGGTTCCCGCCGGCACCTGGCGATTACTGAGTATCACTGACGGGGGAGAGGTCTGTATGTAAACAATACAGCGCTACTCGCATATATTCCTATATAAAAGTGGACAAATAAAAACCTGGTAAATTAAAATATCAAATAAGTGAAATAGTGTGTCCACTTAGGTGAAATCATGCAAATAACTAATGATACAATAGTGTGAGCGGATCTAAGCTCCAATAGTGATGGTGAAAACGAAATCCTTCCAACTGAAAAAATAAATTCAACTGCAAACAATACGTGCTTCTAAGAGTGTGTGTATGTGTATATATATATATATATATATATATATATATATATATATATATATATGTGTGTGTGTGTATATATATATATATATATATATATATATAATATGAAAGGTGTACATTAACACATACAGTTGTGTCCAAAATTATTCAACCCCCACTGAAATTGAGTGTTTTGGCCAGTTTGACATTGCTTTTGATCATTCAGTCATCTTGCTTACATTTACATTAAAGAGGCACTTGTAGGTCAACAAATATAACATAACAGTTATAATGAAATAACCACAAATGTCTTTTCTGTGCTCACAGCATTATCAGTTTTATTCAACCCCCAAGTGACATTCAATCTTAGTACTTAGTACAGCATCCTTTTACAGTTATAACAGCTTTTAAACGTGAAGCATAGCTTGACACAAGTGTCTTGCAGCGATATCTACGGGTATCTTCGCCCATTCTTCATGGGCAAAGGCCTCCAGTTCAGTCACATTCTTAGGCTTGCGCACTGCAACTGCTTTCTTTAAGTCCCACCAGAGGTTCTCAATCGGATTTAAGTCTGGTGACTGCGATGGCCACTCCACTCCAAAATGTTCCAGCCTTTCCTCTGCAACCATGCTCTAGTGGACTTGGAGGTATGCTTGGGATCATTGTCCTGTTGAAAGGTCCAACGTCTCCCAAGCCTCAGGTGTGTGACGGACTGCATCACGTTTCCATCCAATATCTCCTGGTACTGAAGAGAATTCATGGTACCTTGCACACGCTGAAGCTTCCCTGTACCTGCAGAAGCAAAACAGCCCCAAAGCATGATTGACCCTCCACCATGCTTCACAGTAGGCAAGGTGTTCTTTTCATCATAGGCCTTGTTCTTCCTCCTCCAAACATAGCGTTGATCCATGGGCCCAAACAGTTCTAATTTTGTTTCATCAGTCCACAGAACACTATCCCACAACTTTTGTGGTTTGTCCACATGGCTTTTGGCATACTGCAGTCGACTCTTCTTATTCTTTGGAGACAGCAAGGGGGTACGCCTGGGAGTTCTGGCACGGAGGCCTTCATTACGCAGTGTGCGTCTTATTGTCTGGGCTGAAACTTCTGTACCCACATCTGACAAATCTTTTCTCAGTTCCTCAGCAGTCACACGGGGACTTCTCTCCACTCTACGCTTCAGGTAGCGCACAGCAGTCGAAGTCAGCATCTTCTTTCTGCCACGACCAGGTAGCGTTTCAACAGTGCCCTTTGCCTTGAATTTGCGAATGATGCTTCCTAAGGTGTCTCTTGGTATGTTTAACATCTTTGCAATCTTCTTATAGCCATTGCCCTTCCTGTGAAGAGAAATCACCCTCTTCTCTTGTCTTCCTGGACCATTCTCTTGCCTTCACCATGTTTGTAACCACACCAGTAAATGTCTAGAAGGAGCTGAGTATCACAGTCATTTTAAAGCTGCCTAATTGGTGCTTATTACTGCTGCTCGGTGACATCCACAGGTGTTTTCAATACCTGATGGAAAGCACCTGTATGAACCTCTGTTCTTCAGAGTGGTAGTCTTTAAGGGGTTGAATAATTGTGGCAATGAAGAAACCACATAAGAACCATTTACTACTGTATTACATAAACAATTGATGTCATTTTAGTTGCATTTGGGTAGTTACAACGTCCTTGTAGGATTTGATTCTGAATACAATTCCAAATGTACACTATAGTCCCTAAACCCCTTTACAGCATTGGGGGTTGAATAATTTTGGACACAAACTGTAAATATACTTCTAAATACCCCATACAGTGAATAAATCAAAACAATGTGCATATATGTGAACCAAGTAAGTGCAACTGCACACAAACAAAGTCTATTTCTGTGCGTATAAAGTCCAAACACAAGAATGATCACACTCTGATGAAAAAAACACTCGTGCTCATATTTGTGTGTAAAGAAGTGGGTTGGTAGTTGGGCAGAAGATCATCCGACCGCCGGCTGAATCAGCCTCTCACCTTTAAAGACTCGACCCTTGCGAGTCAAAACGTTTAATAGGATCCCTCTCCCAGATCCTCCAGGTCAGATGTTACTCCAAACAACTGCTCCCACTGTATATAAATCTCCCTCTAGGGATCAGCACTTCAATAATGGCTCCTCTCCAGGCAGGATCAAATGCTGCGCTAACTACAATTCTGCTGCACGACCAGCAACCCCCGGGCACAGCACAGGCCAGCCTACTGCTAACCATCCATCAGAGGACCATAAATGAGGGATCCAGGCTGCAAGCATATTTATGTGTTAATGTACACCTTTCATATGTATATGTGTGTATATATATATATATATATATATATATACTCTCAGAAGCACGTATTGTTTGCAGTTGAATTTATTTTTTCAGTTGGAAGGATTTTGTTTTCACCATCACTATTGGAGTTTAGATCCGCTCACACTATTGTATCATTCGTTATTTGCATGATTTCACCTAAGTGGAAACACTATTTAATTTATTTGATATTTTATTTACCAGGTTTTTATTTGTCCACTTTTATATAGGAATATATGCGAGTAGCGCTACATTTTTTTCCATACTCAAATCCTATGATCATTGGTATATGATTTAATGTTAGCAGCTTCTCTGTATTATTTTTGTTGGGATTTATTCTGAGCGCAGGAGGTTCACACCATTACTATGTAAACAATACAGATCTCTCCCCTGTCAGCTCCTGCACACTGCTTTGTATTGCTCTGCATAGCAGAGCAATACAAAGCAACGTGCTTACACAGTAAAACAGCACACAGTTAACCCTTTAAATGCCCCAGATGTTAACCCCTTCCTGCCAGTGTCATTAGTACAGTGTCAGTGCTTTTTATTAGCACTGATCACTGTATTAGTTTCACTGGGGGGGGTGGTCAGAATGCCTGCCGCAGTCCCGCTATAAGTCGCTGATCACTGTCATTACTAGTATATAAAAAAAGGAGAAAAAAAATTTCAGTACATATACACTGCAATTTATATATATATATATATATATATATATATATATATATATATATATATCAACATCTGTAGACGCTATGACTTTCGCGTAAACCAATTCACTTACACATATTGGGATTTTTTTTTTATAATAAATATATATATATATATATATATATTTGCCACTTGTAGACGCTATAACTTTCACGTAAACCAATTAATTTACACGTATTGGGATTTTTAGCAAAGACATGTAGCAGAAATACATTTTGGCTTAAATTTATGAATTTATTTTTTTTTTTTATTTTTACTGGACATGTTTAATAGTAAATAGTCAAAAATATAGTTTTTTTTTTTTCTTTTCTCACAACTGTCGGTCTTTTTTTGTTTATAGTGCAAAAAATAAAAACAGCAGAGGCAATCAAATACTACCAAAAGAAAGCTTGATTTGTGGGGACATAAATTTAATTTGGGTGCAGTGTTGCATGACTGTGCAATTGTTAGTTAAATAACACAGCGCCGTATCGCAAAAAATGGCCTGATCCGGACGGGGGGTAAGTCCTCTGGAGGGCAAGTGGTTAATGGTATTTCTTCCAGTGTGAATAGAAGAACGTATCTTTGCCAAGCAAGCTGTTGAAAAGACCTGCGCTCCTAATCACACTGTACTAAATATCATTAAAGGTGTAGTTCTTGTCTCATTCATATTTTTATCTCAAGCCTTGGTGAAGGGGGTGGTTTTGGACCTCCAAAATGTAATGGCTGCTCTTTAGATTGTCCCTCTGACTTTTTTGGAATAAAGTTGTATCTCATAGCAGTGGTGTGTGGTTTGTTACATTAAACCAGTGTTGTTCAACCTTTTTTCGGTCAAGGCAACCTCTAAAATTATGGACAGTCCTGAGCAGGGGCGGACTGACCATTTGGAAACTCGGCCACTGCCCGAGGGCCCAGGGTCAGTAGGGGGCCCCATGAGATGCCCCTGGTACCTTTTTCATAGGCTTTTTGGAGTTTGGGCAAGGACACATGGGCCCCATGATCCCCTATTGCCCGGGGGCCCCATGAGTTGTCAGTCCGCCCCTGGTCCTGAGGCACCCCATTCTAAAATGTAAAAAACTTTTCTAATACTTTTATATAATGCAGCAGCATCCACACGTTTAGGACACCCAACATTACAGGTGATTTATTTTTCCAAAGCAAATACACTTTTGCACACTGGTCCAGACTAGTATTACAGCGTTTCTCTCAGTTTTTCTCCATCACTGAGCTAATGTAACCCCAGTACTTATAGAGAGCACCCTGGTTGAGAAAAGCTGCATTAAACTACAAGCCAAGGAGACTGTGGGGATCCTCTGGGGTGTAGAAGCTGCCTATCTGGGAACCAGAAGACTTATCAATATCAATGCTTTGAAGTGAAATTGAAGTCTTCTTATAATAGACTGAGAGCAGGAAGGCTGTTATTACAGAAGAGACATACAATGTCCTTTCTGGGATTAAAAAAAACCTACCTGCATGCTTGCAGTCTTCTGAAGCACGTAAACAGAGCTGCGCATGCATAGCTCAGATTTCAGCACTGACACCATCCCTGTGTCCTGCGATGGCTGACTCCTGTGTATGAGCAGGCGTTGCGGCATGTGAAGTCTGCCAGTGGAGGTAACTGATGACCAGCACCTGGGGAGAAGGTGCCAGTGTCTGTGAAGAACCCAGACTGTTAGAGAGGAGGTAAGTTCAATGACTTCAGTTTCACTTTAACATATCAATACCAATAAGATAACATGATGGGTCCAACCAAATGTTCCCACTTTCTTCAGCAATAAATACCTGACCAATGTTATAACCACTCTATCAAGAACTAGAAAAAAATTTTTTCCGCAGTTCTACTTTTGCTTCAAAAGTTTCAGTACTAAAGGTTGCTTGAGGTGATTGTAGCCGTATTACTAAAGGTTAAATCTCAGCACCTAAAATGCTTGTCAGTTATTGGATCTGGATGTGTCCACTCTTGGATCAGACTGTGAAAGACTGCAAAGCCTAGTGTTGTGCAGAATGCAGGTGGAAACCTCTTTGTTGTCACACAGGATTTGAAGTGGGTGGATGAACTTTCTGGCTCTCTTTGCATCCAAAACAAAACAGACACAGTTGAGTGAGTGCAATTTGTTTAATACTGAACTGTGTTCTACCCCATACGTTTTCCTCGAGATGTTTTCATGATGAGGAAAATGATGAATGTGTAATATATTACCTATTGCTGGCAGTCTGTTAATCATTAGTCAAGCAGTTACTGCAACAATCGTCTTTAGTAAATTTAGCACTTAGATCAATTCTGAGCTTTGTCCATGCAATGATGGCCCCTCTAGTAGCGCATACTTTCCCTTCACTCCCCGTAACATGATTCTGCCATCAAGCATGAAGATAAATACAGGTCTGGTAATTGTGCACACAGATATGGACAATGACAGCCATAAATTGGATCATACTCTGAAAATGTCATTCTCACTTCAAATCAGTCCCCCTCCCTTTTTTTTGAATGGCATGTGGTGTGTGTGTATGCTGGGGTCACAAGACCATCGGGTACAGCTGGATACACTTCTTGGTTGTAAACCCAATTAGCTGGTTCCATGATGTCTGTCAGACCCTTGCCTTGGCCTGATCGTAAAGCTATAAACCAGTCAGTCACTGGACATGAAAGCATTCCAGGGTGGCGGTAAAACATACATCCCACTTGAAACCACTTTTTCCTACAATTTCATAAATCCCGGCAGGAACAAGTTACAATAAAACAAAGCATATATTCAGAGAGGTCAGCTTAATACGAGTCACCTGATACCTTACACCCCTAGATAACCTCTACCAGAGATCAGAAAGCGATATCTCTTAAACCGTCACAGCCAGATATGTCATATTTGATGTCTGGACATTCAGAATATGGTTCTGCATATTAACCTGCCAGTGGCTAGGCTGCTGCATGCACCTATGGAAGGTTATTGACCATGGTATAAACGTAGGAGGGATTTGGTCATAGCCAGGGTCCCCACCTAAACACCCCACCCAAAATGAAGCGATTGGTTCTCTGCTTTAAGGAGACACCATGCTGGGTTCCTAGAAAACAGGCTGTCATGCCTGGAGAGAAAGGTGAAGAGATTCTACCTTTTTAACATCAGGAACCAACTTCGGGAGAAAAGGTATCCTTTTGTTCAGGACACTTGAACTCTGCTTAAACCAGGACTTCTGCAAGTATTCTACCATCTTAAACTTCTTTCTGTTATCTCCCTGTTGTGTTATTGCTCTCTATATATATATATATATATATATATATATATATGGTGGTTACATATTTTCTGTAAATATTTTTATTGCACCATTTTGACCTTTTTAGTAATAAATCCTTTTTCTGAAAAGTGTTGAATTGTTTCTAAAGCTCTTTAATGCAAACTAAGAATCCCTGTCTCTGAAGAGTGCTACTGTGTGTTTTAAAACCTCTGGATACATCTGTCTGCGGTGACAGTGTGTATATAGACAATTATTCAAACATCATAGTGTTACTGCTAAGATTTGTGAGTTCCTCCTTCTCTGTAAAAAGGTGGTGTGGCAGTGTGAAGGGTTAATTGCGTAATTAACCTGACCCAGTAACAATCGCTCTCAGGCTGCTGGTACATAGATTGTGGTCCAGTGAGCTGGAAAATCTCTGTGCAGGGTGCAGCTGAGAGTGGCATTGTTACGCAAGTGGCAGTGCGGTTTTAGATTGGCTAGTCCTTCAGTCACAAGTTGGAGAGAAGGACTGGGGTCTGACGCTGCGCCCGTCACAACAGGTACAACTGGGTATAGAGGAGCATGCAACTATTTTCTCCTCCCTTTACTAGTATTTGGAGCAGTTTGACATGGGGGATGGAGGGGAGAAAGTTCTAAGCCCTGTGCAAGCTCCAAACTGGCCAATGGGCTACTTTTTCTTGCTTGTGGATCACTGTGATAGGCATGTATAGGCAGATATAGGAAGTTAACGTTCTATACAAACTATGAGGAGAATTGATCAAAAGTGGAGCAGCCAACACACTTTTTTTTTTTTTTTTAAATATCTTTTTTCATTTAAAGTGTTCCTAAACCCACAACAGTAAAATCAGTCTGTATATGCAGTAAAGCATGCTTGTTATCAGTGGCGTCACTAGGGGGGTGCGGGCTGCACCGGTGTGACACCATCACAGGGGGTGACACCAAAATGCAAAGAAGAGCTGTCAGTGGCTGTCATCCATCCGAGCGGAGTGTCCCCCGCCGTCTCACCAGGTACCGGGGCTCCTCATCCCTCCTGCAGCCCCAGGAACAGCCACATGCCATGCGGGGAGTGAGATGTCGGGTCCCAGTGGGGGGGGGGTGTCCGATCACAGTGGCTGCTGCAGGCCAGTTTCACACCCAGCCTGTCCCCCGTACAGCAGAGCCCCCCCACCCTCTGATTGTTGGACGGCTCCTACTCTACATGTCAGTCCATGAATGTTAATGACCCTGCCCAAAGTCCGCCCATCTGCATCACACATCACTGGCCGGTCCCTGCACAGGACATCCTTCCATCTCCCAACACAGATCCTGGGACCGGGGTGACACTATGTGTTACCTCAATGGGTGACACCCACCCCAGTGACGCCTCTGCTTGTTATACTCCCTGTGAAACCTAAAGTGGTATTCCTCCACATTGTGTAAAAAGGATGTTTGATCCTGTCTTCTCTGATCCTTTCCTTTTTCTACTGTCCCCATATATATATGCTAATAGTACAGAGCCCTAGGAAACACCCTGCACATGCCCAGTTTAGTTTGTATGGCTAGAGAGCATTTTTTTTTCTTTGATCAGCACAGGGCCAATCAGCGCTGTCCAGACAGAGGGTTAGGAGTTATGCAACCTCATAGGACAGTCGGAGCAGAATGAAAACTCCTTCTACAAGCTTTAAC